CGGCCTGGCCGCTCCGGCCGCTGCCCCCCGCGCCCCACCGTGGGCCGGTCCCGCCAGCTGGAGCTGACACTGTCACGGGGGCATAAATGAGCTGATGCCAGTTAGGGGAGCCAGATGCCTTCACACCAGATTTGCTAATCTTCTGTCTTTGAGTGTGCTCTGTCATAACAACAGCCCTCGTACAAGCTTAATTGAATGGAGTCAAATAGGTTTAAGAAGTTAAGTAGCAAAACTTTTTAAAGTGCTTAAAATCTGTTTGCTCCTTTTTCCCCCCTTTATGTTTTAACCCATTCAGATACGTTATTGTGCATAGAAAAAAATATTTCCTGCTTAGGAATTTGCTAGCTAAGGCACTGTAAGAAAAATCTTGCAGATGAACCCACCAGTCTGTATGAAATGAGATGGCCTATTTAGTAGCAGGGCCTGTGGGTCCTGTGTTGCATCAGTTTTCCTTTAGCAAATTTAATTCATTATGTGCCCAAACAGAGCTGCTCAGCCCACCCTGCGTGGCCTGCACAGTGCATAGCGGTCCCCTGCAAAGCTGTGCTCCTGCAAAGGGACGGGAGGGGAACAGAGTGGAGAGCTCTTCTGTGAAAGCAAAAGATGCAGATACTCACAGGGAAAACACACAAGTTCTTGGGCACTCAGCCTTTCTTTGGATGCTGTATGCAAATGTATTTACCATTTTCTTTTTCCTCCTGCCCATCCTTTGACTCATTTTTCTGAAGAGCTAGTGACTGCCATTTTGCTGTACTTCTCAGCTCAGACAAAATGGAGGCTTTGGAGGAATCCGTAACTACTACAGCCTGTGCCTTCTAAAATGGAAAATAATCCCCTTTTTTATGAAAAGTGATCGTTTTGGAGATTTTTAAAAAATAATAATCAGTGTATCCCATCCTAAAAGGAAGAATCTCCTTTTTTTTTTTCCTGTAAACACATGGGTGCAGTTGTGTTAACGTCATTGCTGAAAATATAAATATTAATGCACCTTGCACTTTGATGTATTGCCATAAAAGACACTGAATTTCAGATCATCAAGCCCACTGTGTGACACAGCCACAGAACTTAGCTATTCATCTTTATTTGAGGCAGCCCTCTTCCTAAAAGCTCACATAAGGAGGTTCCTAGTTGCCATTAGAAAAACAAAATAAAATTAATCTAAATCATTCAAACTTTATCTTGGAAAATTACTGATGGATGAAAGAGGGGGTTTATAAAGGATTAATAAGAACTAGTCTGGAATACAGTGTATATTCTAGAGCCTGTGATTATAGTGGTAATTTAGCAGATTGTATCGCTGCCTTTCTCTGCCAAAGGATGTTTCACACCATTTAGAATGCACAATACTCCCTTCAGAGACAGGTTCTTCTGGAATAACTCAACATCCAAAGGGAAGCCGTGTTATTTCCCCCCTCTCTTTATCAGTTACATGTGTGCGATTGCATGTGTGCACATTGTCTTCTCCTCAGCAAGAGCACTGAGTTTTCATGCTTGTGTCTGCGTTCATTTATCAGCCTTCTCAGAGACAGACAATACTAAAAATGGACAGTCGTGAAATCTATTCAGAATAGGGCTGAAGTGCTGAAACCAGAGAGCCTGTGTAAAATAAAGCATAAATTGGCCCTTCCTCTAAAAGATTAATTAAAATAAATTTGGATTTGAGCAAGTTATCCAAACTCTGAGAGCTCCCTTTTGTTTCTCATTTTGAAGAGGAACCAAACAGTGATATAAGGGCAAATCTTAGTATTTTTTTATCCAGCAAAGATGATTTGGGAATCTCTAGACCAGAGGGATTGAAATTTGAATAAATTCCATGCCTGTGATGTTTCCAAGACTCAGGATGCAAGTCTTACAGTGTGCAAAAGCATGAGCCAGGCTTATCTATAGTTAAAGAATTTGCCGTATGTAAACCCAGCATACGACCTGACATTCCTTTTGACTTTGCTGTCTCTCTCTCTCTCTTACAGGCTGTTTGCTGCCAAGTGCAGCGGCTGCATGGAGAAGATCGCCCCAACAGAGTTCGTGATGAGAGCCCTGGAGTGTGTTTACCACTTAAGCTGCTTCTGCTGCTGTGTTTGTGAACGGCAGCTGAGGAAAGGGGATGAATTTGTTCTTAAGGAAGGGCAGTTGCTCTGCAAAAGTGACTATGAAAAAGAGAAAGACTTATTGAGCTCAGTTAGCCCAGACGACTCAGACTCAGGTGAGCTTTTCCCACACCTGCTCTGACTGGAAAAGCCACAAGTGTTTGTAGAGTTTTCTTATATAAAAGTATAACCGTTTTCACCTCCACTTTTTTCTATATGCCCATGCTATCTATGCAAATTAGCAGGCACAGCTAAAAAAAAATCCCTATTTGCAGTCTCTTCTCCCTAACTTGACTCTCTTAACTTGCTTAGTCAAGGACAAAAACTACTCATCTGCAGTGTGATCTCTCTCTTGAGGGTGACCTAGGGTTTGAAAAGTGTGATTGCAAGAACCTGCACTACTCGGCATGGGAGTTAAGGCAGAAAGTCACCATACTCTGATCAGAGCTTTTGTCTTCTCCTGAAAAAGACAGTGGAGCCCTCACACCTGATAGCAGATGATGTTCTTCAGTGATGGAGGGACAGATGCCTTCATTCCTCCACCCATTTCCTAGGGAAGGTTTTAAAAGAGAGCACGCAAAATCTGCTTGCTGTTTGCCCAGGGCTGGAAAAACAGTACTGCACAGGAGAGATAGTTCACATGCTGGATTTGGGTGCTCCAGTCCAAAGCCCAGGTGATCTAGTGTTAATTACAGTGAGGACTGGCTTTCAGGCAGAGACAAGATGCCTCCTCCTTGTGCCATATACACTCAAGGAGCCTGGAAACCTCCTGCTGTCGGTGTGCCTTGGCTGATCCCAAGATGAGAAACAGTGTGTATAGAACTTGCTGCCGGCCATCATAACTCCCCACTTGTTTCCCAAGAAAACTAAGAAAATCCACAACTACTGTTCCATTAACTGTACAAATGACATGAACGTTTGCTTCTGTTTTATGGGAAAATGCATTATTCAAATCTAGCTAGGAGCTGTAATTATCCCTAATCTGCAATCCGAAAGCCATATTCTCCACATTGCTGAAATGTATATTTTCACATCAGGAATTCTGCAAGACAAAGATCACTGTTGGCTTGGCAGGATTTGCTCCTTTCTTGGAGCAGCATGTTATTTATTGCCCTACTGTGCTTGCAGGACCTTGCACACTCTGCTCTGTAAATCTCACGTCACAGGTTTTGGGCTCTTTGTGAATTTGCCCAAGGCAGGTGAGTTTCCCACTTGCCCTTCGGCAAGTCTTCTCCTTGCCACCTTCAGCATCCTGCTGCCTGCCTGCCCGTGCCAAGACAAGCCCCCGTGGAAAGCTGCGTGTGCGGGGCTGCCCACCCCGCCGTGTGCCTGGGGACTCTGCTCCCCCGCCCCCCTCGCCACACCCGCACCGGTGGCTGCTGCTGGCCTGCATTAAGATGTGCTTGGGCATCAGTGGGCTCTCCTGGGACCGGATTTTCTGGTTTGCAATCAGCAATAAGCTACTACAGTGGCACAAAACAGCCTTGCTTTCAATTTCATTTCCCCTTGGCACAAGGGGTAGTTTCTTGCTCCTGGAGATGCTTTCCTTTTCCTCATTATTCTCTGTTAGCCAAACCCAAACCTGAAAAACAAGTTGACAAATTAAATGGGATGTTTTGTCTCCTATTGTCTAATACATTGAAAATACAGATCTCCCAGATGCCTGTGAGGGAGCAAATGATTTCACATAGCCCTGGCTGTGCATATGTCCTTCTCCAATCAAATATTTATCCACTGGACACAAAAGTAACTCCCTAGTGAGCAATATTAATCCTCACAAACCTTTCCTTAGAAATGGCATGCTGGAAAGTTAATAATGTCATGGTTATTAAAATGACTGAACTTCTCTTTAATCGTTAGGCAAAAGATGCTTATTAAAGTAAAAGGTGATTAGATTGCAAGGTGCATAATAATCAGATTCTAAAATGAATTAAAGTCTAATTTGTTAATTCCCCAAATGCTATCTTTGAATATATAGAAATTGCAGTGTGTTTCTTCGTGTTGAAGTCCCTATAATAGTATGTTCATATTTTTTGGAAGAAAAGTCAGTAGTCTCATGAAATAAAATGTGCTGAGTTGAAAAGTTGTTTTTCATAGCGATATTTGTACTTACTCTTCAACCACTGCTGCTGTGATTGAGATTTCCCAGCACAGTATACTAAAACATATAATATCACCAGATTGTATAAATAGTCGGAATTTAATCATAGAAAATACAAATAATCTAGTTGGTCTACACAAGCACGTATATACTTGTATGTGTTTACTAAGAAAGAGAAATTTGTACGTGCAGATACGGACCCATTCTAATACAGAGAGAAAGAATACTCATGTTTTCTGTGAGAGACAGAAATGAGATGACAAATATTATATTTAATACTATCTCTTGAGCTTAAAAATACTCAGAACAATGACAGGGATCTACACTCTATTTAGCTGGACAGGTTTCAAGATACTTTTGTGGTATTTGCATTTACCCTGTCTTGCTGCTGTAGCAGTGTGGGCAGCAGTAGCTGTCTGCAGCCGACAGTCTGAGGGAAGATGGGACTGTGCTGAGCAGGGGAAGGTGTGTGCCAGTCGGTGTGGCTGCGGCGGGTGGGCACACAGGGGACTGAGCGGGGCCAGAAGGGCACCAAGTCCCTGTGCCTGATTCCTGGAAATACCGACCTGTGTTCTGAAATCCATCCCCTCATCAGTCCCATGCCCTCAGTTTGAAATTAGACACATTTTTATGCTTTTGTGGCATATGATCTAGGCAGTGCACACAAATCTAAGATCATCCCTTCCTGCCTGCAGTTTCTTTAAGTACTCAAACAAACATGGGATAATAGTTGAACCTGTTGACTAGTTGCAGCTGAAGAGCAGTTCTCAAACACTCTGCCATCTTGGTGGGACATGTACAATTTTACATCCCATCTATTTTTCACCAGTTAAAAGTGATGATGAAGATGGAGATGTTAAGCCCACCAAAGGACAAGTAACCCAAGGGAAAGGAAGCGATGATGGGAAGGATCCAAGAAGACCTAAACGACCAAGGACAATACTTACTACGCAGCAGAGACGAGCATTCAAAGCATCCTTTGAAGTGTCTTCCAAGCCCTGTAGGAAGGTAGGTGCTTCGTCAGGGACCAGAAATCAGCTTTTGTCAGGGGGTGGCAGTCCTGTCAGAAGGTGATAGGGTCAGGCTACAGCTCCAGATAGCCCCCTGCCCTTTCCTGGGACAGCAGCAGGTGCCTTGAAGTGAAGGCAGAGATCAGGCCAGCAAATGGTGTTGCTTCTCCAAACACTGTCTCAGCCTGGAGCAATCAGCAGCTTCGGACTAACCAGCTTGTTGTTGCTTCTGGAGCAGCTTCAGAGCAGCTCCATGACTGGCTCCTACTGAACAACAGTATTTGGTTCTTATTAAACATGACCAGGTAAACAAGTGGCTTTTGCCCTTCTCCCTACTGCAGCAGGGGTCACTCTGTAGCAAGATGGGGACTCAGTTTTGGTCCCACTACTTGTCCTTCCATTCCTGCCTTTTTGACCCTGCTTATAGCAGC